TACACATACCTGTGAACCAGGCCTCTTATGTCATTGGAGAACTAGAAATGGTTGAGTAGTGCCATGCATATAAATGACAGGAATAATAATTCATAATTCAAGAGGAGTGACTTGTGAGCAGTAACTGTCAGACAACTGCATCAGTTCTTCAGTAGACCTAATTGCAGAGCAGAACTCATATATAAAGTCAGAATTGGCCTCAGAGGCACCCTCACACATAAGCATGAGCCTTCTATACCCAAGAATCCAAACTGAAGTGTTAAAATTAAATGAGAGTCCAGGGTATTTAAAAAAAAAACTTTCTTCTACCCAAGTGACAATAAAATCCCAGCTGCAGAAACAGGACATTTACTCTTCCCATACTGGTGTAAAGACTAAATTGTCGGGCTAGGGATGCAGCCTGTCCAGCAGCTAATTTAGCTGAGAATGAATTCATAATGTTGCCTGTGGGTCTGTGTGAGAGAAGCCCCAGCCATATTAGTCTTTGGAATAAATAAGCTCTGCATCTCACACCGGGAGTTTCCCTGCTGGGTGATGAAGGCTGGTTGCTGAAGTTTGTCCTGATTTGTAAAAGTGACAGCTTCTGAGCTATGTTGGGAGTGCAGGTTGGGTGTTAGGACCAAACTCTTCTGGCCCATAGCATCCTCCCCTGTTCCAGGATATGTATAAACGTGACAACATTCCATGAGCCAAGATGTGTCATAGCATGCAGTGAATGTTCTCCTCCTATGGGGAGGGGAGATTTTTGTAGGTCAACAGCACATGGCATTGCACACATCTAGGGGTCTACCAAATTCGTGGAGGCGGCCGACCAATATTGTGAGCAGATTACAGGGCCACCCGCCATATTCGTAGACTGAGCATGGTGCCCCCCCTCAACACCTCTGATAGGCTGAGGGTCCCTGTCAGTCCCGCCCCTTCCTGCAGATTACCTCATGGCCCAAAATGGCAGCTTAATTCCTAGGGCTGTGCGAAACTTTGGCAGCCGTTGCATTTCGGAGGTGTTTTGGCCTGTTTCAGTACCTGAAACCGAATCTGAAACGAAATGGAAGGTTCCAAAACAAAACGGAACCATCCAAAACATTTCGGATGTTTCGGAATGTTTTGAAGGTGGGCTTGCGGGAAAACAAAAAACTCAGAAGAGGAAGAGGGAAGTGCGGGGGAAGGACTGCTCTAATATTGACAGCTGTAGCTGGTTAGTAGCTGCAATCTGTCCCTGAAGTTCCTTTCAATCCCAGTGCTCTGGGGGAGGGACAGAGAAAGAACATATAAGGCTGCTTGTGCTCTCTGCCTTTTGTGAGATCTGTCTCTTGCAGCACGGGCAGCAAGCACAGCATCTGAAGGGTCTAGGCTAGTAGCAGTAGGTAGTCTGTTGCTACCAAGTTGTAGCCAGCCATTAGCCAATCCTTTCCCACTTACCCTTGCCCATCATCCCTATTGTTAATCTCTTTTAAATATTTCTTCCAAAAAAATCCTGTTGTTTATTCTTGTTATTTTTTTTTCATCCCAAACAAAAAGAAAGCTGTGCTTTTCCTGGCAGTGTCTCATCACTGTGCAGGAAGGCACTATACATATACAGCACACAGACACACATTTTCCAGCACACCAAACATGAAGCATTCTGGAAAGGTAGGTGCCAGATCTTGTGGCGGGGGAGCGAGAGGGGGCAGAGGCAGAGCTGTAGGTTTCACCCCCCACCCCTCCAAACTTGGACGCACCCTCTTTTCTACCAGGCATGAGGCTTCTGCTGCTAGTGGCAGCAAGGAGGTGGGAGCTGTGTCTGCACCTGCCGCACCTCCACTAACACCAGCAATAACAATAACCCCCAGCACGACCAGCATGAAAAGCACCAGCATGACAGTCTCCTCCACCAATTTCAGTTTTCAGCCTGAGCCTTCCAGTGCCAGAGGAGGCACTGGATCTGGAACCAGGGGAGCTCAGTGTCATAGCCAGAGAACTTCTGGGTAAGGAGGGGGAATCTGAGCTTGTGCTCCACACCCCTCAAAGTTTCCCTAGAGCCAGGTCTCCTTCTCCGGAAAGCACTTTGGGGGAGGTTGAAGTTGTGGAGGGAAGTGGCTCAGCTGAGTCAGCTCCTCCTGTTGTTGTGCCTCTGCCTGCTGAGGAGGGGGATAAGGCAGGATCCCTACCCACACCCCAGAAGCGAGGGGGTAGTGTAGTACGGGATCATTTTGAAGTGGCAAATGATCCCACATATGCTATCTGCCTGCACTGCTGATGCAAGACCAGCTGGGGCAAGTATGAGAAACACTTCAGCACACAGGAATGCTGACAAAGTTCCTTGGGTGAATTTGATATCTTTTATTAGACCAACCCAAATGGTTGGAGAATAGTTATTGAGCAAGCTTTCGGGTTCAAAAACCCTTCGTCAGGCTAAGGAAGCTGCAGCAGTTGGTGTGTGCTCTTCCTGGAGCACACACCAACTGCTGCAGCTTCCTTAGCCTGACGAAGGGTTTTTGAACCCGAAAGCTTGCTCAATAACTATTCTCCAACCATTTGGGTTGGTCTAATAAAAGATATCAAATTCACCCAAGGAACTTTGTCAGCATTCCTGTGTGCTTATTGCCCTGGCTCCTCCTCACCCTGGCACCAGTGGGAGCGTACTCAAAAGGAAGTCCCCCTCTTGCTCCAAAGCCCCTATCCCCCAGAAGCAGAGGCAGGCCACCCTGGACTAGTGGGGAAAAGGGAGAGGGAAAGGGGGGTGCATTCCAAAGGTGAGCGAGGTCACCCAGAGCATTGGGGAGATGCTTGCTCTGGATGGCCAGCCCTTCTTTGTTGAGTAGCCAGGGTTCAGGCGGCTCATGTTGCTTGTGGCCCCATCATACCACGTGCCCACACGTACCACCTGCAGCAGGATGGTGGTGCCCTCCCTATATAAGGCGTGCAGGGAGTAAGCTTGAGGGAGGAGCTACACAAGGCAGGTCCTCAGGTGACCTTACACTTCACCTCAGACATCTGGAGCAGCCGGGGTGGAGATCATGCCTACCTCTCCCTCACAGGGCACTGGTGCCATCAATCAGGCTATCAGTGGTCTCTCCTGCAAGCAGAGGTGATAGATGAGTCCCACACAGCAATGGGGATCATGGGAACCATGAACTGAATGGTGCAGGGGTGGCTTGTTGGGCAGGGCAAGCTCACCCCCAGGTTCATGGTCACTGACAATGGGGTCAGTATGGTCAAGGTGGTGCATGATGCCAACTTTGTTGGCATCTGCTGTGTGGCACACAAGTTCTACTTTATAGTCAGGGATGCCTTGGAGAGGGACAGAGCTGCCAGTGATGGTGCTGTCACAACCAGCCAGCTCATTTAAAATTGCAGGAAGGTGGCAGGCTACGTCTATCCCAACATCAAGGGAGGCAAGATGCTGTGGGACAAACAGGCCGAGCTGAGCATCCCACAGCACAAAATCATGCAGGATGTGGAGACTCGGTGGAACTCCACATACCTGATGCTCAAAAGGCTGGTTGAGCAACAGAAGGCCATCCATGAGGTGAACTTGCTCAGGGAGATTGGGATCAGAGGCCCCCTTAACAAAACAGTGTGGGATACCATCTCCCAGATTTTGGTGGTCATCAAGCCATTCCTCAAGGCCACCAAGAGCCTCACCACTGGCAATGCCCTCCTTAGCCAGGTGATCCCTATAGTGAGGGAGCTTCAGAACCAAATGGAGAAGTTCCAGGGGAATAATGTTCCTGGCTGGGGCAAGCTGCTGTCACCAGAGGTGCAGGTACTGGTGAAGCGGCTGAAGGAGGGCATCAAGAAACAGCTGGATCCATTGCAATCCAATACGGTCCATGTGCTGGCAGCCATGTGCAACCCAAGGGTGAAGGGGAGCATGTGCAGCAGCAACATCCTGGATCATTGGATGGAGATTTCATAGACATTCAGGCTGGAAGGGACCCCAAAGGATCATCGAGTCCAGTCCCCTGCCCCAGAGGCAGGAAGTCAGCAGGGATCATAGGATCCCAGCAAGATAAACATCCAAATATATCTTGAAGGCATTCAAAGTGGGTGCTTGAACCACCTCCAGCAGCAGTCTATTCCAAACCTTGGGGGCTCGGAGAGTAATGAAGTTCTTCCTTATGTCCAGCCTGAATTGGTCATGGTGGAGTTTGTGACCGTTTAATCTTGTCATCCCTTGGGGCTCTCTGGTGAACAGACGTTCCCCCAGATCCTGGTGAACACCCCTGATAAACTTGTAGGTGGCCACCAGATCGCCCCTGAGCCTGCGCTTTTCCAGGCTGAAGAGTCCCATGGATCTCAGCCTCTCATCATAAGGTTTGTTTTCCTGACCTCTGATCATGCGCGTGGCTCTCCTCTGCACTCTCTCAAGCCTCTCCACATCCTTTTTGAATTGTAGAGCCCAAAACTCGATGCAGTACTCTAGCTGCGGCCTCACCAAAGCCGAGTACAATGGGAGTACAACGTCCCGGGATTTGCTTGAGAAGCATCTATGGATTCAAGCCAGCATTTTGCTCACTTTACTAGCTGCAGCATCACACTGATGGCTCATGCTCATCAATGTTCATTATCAGTTTTGAAAACTTATATGATTTTTTGGTTTACACTGAATGTTTCAGCAAATCAAAAAAGTGTAAAATAATGTTTTGAGTGCAATTAAATGTTTGGTTCAGCTTGTAATGAAACATTTCATTGTGATGGCAAGGAGGTTTCCATAGTTTCTTTTATGTTTTTTTAATAATTTGGAGAACATTTCAAAACTAAAGATCATTTTTGAATTAGGAAACTGAAATGTTTTGTTCAGAAAAATATTGAAGTGAAACATTTCTCCTTTTTGGGAATTACCCTTTTCATTTATTTTCTGGTGCAAATAATTTGGTGAAACTTGTACAAATAGGCAAAGTGTTAGACCTTTGTGAAATCTGTATTTCTGCTGAAAAACGTTCCAGCAAACAAGTTTAACCTGGGTGATGACACCAGTGCA